GAGCTGAAGATAATGGCAGGTTGCCATGGAAATGTGCATTTAGTCTCACTGTTTCCATGGCAACTGAAAGACATACCATTCTGTTCCTCTGAAGGATGCCAAAGGTAAATGAGCACTGATTAAAACAGGGGCACAAACTTGGGCTCTCATCAACCACAAAGACTAGGGCCATAAACTCTTATTGCTCAAGCAGGAAATATTAAGAGCCATACAAGTTCTGGGAAGGCCAGAGGCAGGAAGCACGGCGCACAGACTGCTCCCTGCAGAGCGAGGAATCATTGCCTTGGAGTAATGGCCCATCTCACTGTCAGGAACAGCTTCGTTTCTGTCCAGGGATGGATGCTAAACCCACTTCAAGTCCATGATCTACTGAGCTGTTTCCTGAGCAGGTATCTGACAGCTGCAGCCTAATTCTGGAAACCACACTGACCAAACATATTCCTCAGAACCCAGAGAGATCTAATAATCCTATACCTAGCCCCTAACCGTGCTCAGTTGGAGGATTCATCCTCTGTTTATAAAAAAAAAAAAAAAAAAGGCAATAAAAAGATTACCCAAATGGAAGAGTTTTGATAAAACATGGGTGGCTGCAGTTTATTCCTGACAATGCTCTTTCCCCTTGAATTGTAGTTCTTTTTCCAGGCTGCCTGACAGTCCTATCAAACACACCACTGCACAAAGTTATCCCTTCCTCTGCTGAGTCTCTCCAGCAGCTATGCCAGCTCCAGAGGAGCACGGTGAATGCTGGGTGAGCACCTCAGCTGGTGTTCATGAAAACAGGCAGAGAATGAAGCATCAAAATGGTGCACATCCTGTCACAGCCCCTGCTATGAACCCGACTGCTGTGTTTGCTAGTGGCAAGAGCATGTGGTTCAGTCCTCCAGCACGTGCTGTGGCAGCTCTTCCTGGAAATACAGCACGTTTGCTCCGAATTCAATAAACTCCTCTGGCCAGTCCCAGCTAAGGATGTGAATGGGGTTTAAGCCACTCTGTTTTTCACTTCCAGCTGCCAGTGGCTGTTCAAAACACTGGCAAGGCTGAAGCCAGTCTTGATATAAAAGCAGTTTCCTTCACAGTGTGGGACACAGACAAGAGAAGCCTTCTCCCATGCACTTCTGCCTTCCTGTTGTTGCCTCCTCTACTGTTCAGTGCTTCCTTCCCCAGGTGCTGGATTCAGGCAAGCTCTAAGAAGACAGGAAATTATACTGCTGTGTGGAGGCAGCAGAAGCCCCAGTGGGTGTCATCTGGGGGGTACTGGCTCCTCACCCCTGGCTGTCTTCCTGACTCACCCAACAGTTCTATACAGACATAGGATTTCACAAGGGAGAGGACTGAGATTAACAAAATTTTGCAGATGAAAATTTTGGGGTGAGAGAGCCAGTTGTCCCCTTAACATCCACCCTAGGCTGGCCCTCAGTCTTACAGAAGCCACTCATGCCCAAATGCTCTTTGTAGAAAGTAACACCACTCAGGAGCTCACCAAGGTGAGCATGGTATTTCCATGCATATCCCTAAACCATGAGAAAAGGGGCATGATAAAAATCTGCCATTTTTCTACCACTGCCTGGCTTGAGGCTTGGAAGAGGGACCCACAGTTAATAGGCAATGGTAGATAGCTAATTTGAAGGAAAGAGCCGGAGTCACAGGCTGAGAATGTGCTGGTCACCTACTAATAAGTCCCTGCAGAGCTGCAACAAGCCCTCATCAAAGTGAGGATTTCTATTCCATCCTCTCCTACCAGCCTGTCAGCGACACTGATGATTGTGCCCTTTTCCCTTGAAGTTTTATCTTAACATAGGTTTCCATAAATATCTTTCTTGATCATTCATTCCTTGTCAGGTGGGTGAACTGAGAGAATCCTCCTTCTTCATGTGGGAGCAGAGAAAGATTTTCCACTGCAGTTTCTCATTTGCAATGAAGCAAAGGCAGCACATCTAGCTCTACTCCTGCTTTTTTTTTCCAGTGGTTCAGTACAAGGGCTCCCATCTATCCCCACACTGTAGGAATCTCACAGGCGTCCCTTGGCAGCCCCTCACAGCCCAGGCAGAACTGAAACCCATGTCTTAATCCTCTGCACTCTTCTCTTGGCACTGCTAGTCTTGCCCCACAGCATACTGTATGGTGTCATCTTTGCCCCCTAAAGCTATTCAGTGTACAGACCTTGACAGGCTGGGTTTTTTTCTTCCATAGGAGCCAGGATCATCTTTCTGCCTACACAGCCAAAGCTCACCAAGGTCACCTTCACCTCCCTCTGCTAACACGACCCCCTGTGCTGACTTCCTAGACAAGGACAGAAAGTTTCAATTTCTGATGTATCAACAGACTATTTTTAAGAGTCTGGAGGTGACAGACAGCCCTTTGCACTCATGCCCTATTGGGAGCTGGAAGACTAGTAGCTTTGGCCAGTAGATTATAGTCACTCCCAGGAAGCAGGACTAGGAGGCCAGGAGCAACGTGTTGTACAGCTGGAACCTCTCCAGCTTCTGGCAGCCTCTCTGATCTAGGGACCACGCTGCTGCAATACCAGATGAACTCAGCTCTAGCCTGCCTCTAAAACAGGAGGCTGCAAAGAAACTTTTGTTCTTGCCTAGGTCCTGCACCGAGCAGATCCAACCTCACCCCTGATAGAAGTCGCAAAGCCGGTTGGCGTCCAGCTCAGCGACTCCCAAGGAGTACGGGGTCCATCTAGTGCAGTCAGAGCAGTACTGCCAGAACCGCGGGCAGAGCCAGCCGCACACGCTTCCCCGGGAGCGCACCAACGCCGGCGGGGACCCACAGCCTCATCCTCTGTACAACCCCTGCAGGGAGGAGGCAAAGTCTCCGGAAAGGGTGGCATGGCACTCCACGGGGACAGCACTTGCTGTAATGACTTCATCAGTGCAGAGTGAGTGAAGGCAGGTGGAACCTGGCTAGGCTGAACAGACACGGCACATTTCCATTGAGGAAGAACAGCAATCCAAGACGAAGGCTGCATGCTTACAGGGGCCAGAAGCAGGCTTTAGTTTAGGGAAAAAAGCCTTGGTAGCTGCTGGCCTGCTACCTCCCCATCACTACTGCTGCATTTTTATTTCCCATAAAAGATCCCAAAAGAGACCTGACCAAGGTCAGACTGTGTGAAATGGAACAAGAATGGACCTGTACTTCCTGGTTGAAAAAGCAATTCCTCTTGCCAACTTTCATTGCTCAGTTATCCCAGCTGAAAGAACCTGAGTTTAACTTATGTCTTCTACTTACACAAGCTTTTAGGTCTTAAACTTTTCAAAGGCAATTCAGACTGACATGACATTCAAGACCTGGGAGCATAAGGGTAGAGCCAAAACATCCTGCAGGGGTTTAAACAAGTCTTTTAATCCAGTCCTTTTACTCCCCTTTACAAAACGGGACAGTGATACATCCAGCTCCCTCTGATGGCACCATAACCAGGTAGAACTTGTTGACTGCAGGAAATGGAAAGGGCTAAACCAAAAGAGCTGCTGCTCCAAATCCCGTCCATATTCCCCACATGACAAAGTCAGAGCAGTTCACATATGAATTCCTGTAACAGCTATGGATGAAACTCAAACTAGCTGGTTATCAACACTCTGAGCACTAGAAATCAAGAAGCAAATCAGTGCTGTAGGTATGCACTAATGATTAGTTTAGAAGGGCACTTGGGAAGCCTAACAGCAAAAATGCCTGTGGCACGGAGTCTTTAAAAGCTCATGGTTTGCCACAAGCAGCTCCCTTGAGACCAAAGTCATGCAGTGCTCCCACACTCGCGAGAAAGACTCAAGTCTTAGACAACTTGGTTATGATCAGATAAAATGCAAGAGAGGGAACAAAAATAGCTTCCCCAACTCTCCTTTCACCCAGAAGCAGGTGAATCACTTTGATTTAAAAGACATCTAGTGGCAGATAAAAAACTACAGAAAATAACTAATGAAAAGGATGTTATTCTGGAAACTTCTAGATTTCCCATTCCATGGGAGTTTCAGAAAGGAAAGGAGCTATTTTATTCTTTCCTCAAACCAGGCACAAGTTAGAGATTAAACAGTGAAGCCAGTTATGGAAAAGATTCTCAGACAACTAAGTCAAAAGGACTTGAGGACCCTTAAGCAGTACTCCAGATCCTCCTCTGCCTGTTTCACCTGAACTTCCCTTCCTGCTGGCAAGGGAAGGCAGGAGATACACTATGAAACCTGAGAGTTTGTACGCCCTAAAATTCCAAGTCAGGTTTAGGAACAGCCTAAAACAGCACTGGGGGATGGAGGGCTGTGTATTTTATTTTTACATACATAGAAGCTTTTTCTATTTTTAAATAAAAGGAATAAGCTTTTAATTCTTCCTACTTCTATTTTTTAGCTTCACTTACTCTGAATAAGTAAAAACTTTCATCCCAGGGGCTGACAGCAAAAGCACTGTAGGTTCCTGAGACCGAGAGAAGCCTGCTGGGTAAAAGAATAATGAAGTATCTGGAAAAGCCAACTCTGAGTTGGGGAGTGGAGAGCCAGCAACACTGTGAGGTGTACAGGAGAGAGACTCCAAGTCCCATTCAGCTGGAAGACAACAGGATAAGCAACGGTAGCCTGAGAGAACCCAGATTCTACCCATGTGGGAATGCATGAGCAATACCAAGCAATCTTAAAGACTTTTTGGTTTTAGTAAGAACTTTCAATAAACACACACACATATATATACAGCCATCTCTTGCAGAGACAAACAGTTAAGTGGTTCCACACTCAGAACCGGGTAGGCGAGTCAGCACCACCTGGCCGGTGGTTCCCAAGGCGCTGAAGATGCTCCCATGTGTGTGTGCACAGCTACTTCATGACTCTGAAGGAAAGGCCAACAAGTCTCAGAGACAGGCTCAGTGCAGATACACACAGAGCTGCAGTCATGTGTAACAGCTGTGTTACAGGGTAAGGGAGATAAGAGGGAGCAGCTGGGAAAAGAACAAGCAAAAACCCTCTGAAGACTGACAGGAAGTATCTGCAGACAGTGTCCATCCATGGGAAGTCCAGTCAGAGTTTGACAGAGAAGGAAGTCCCACACGAGCAACCTTTCTCTGCCTGGGGGTTGCTCACCACCTGGAAGGAGCTGCGAATCAGCTCCTGGCTGAAGTCCACCATGGAACCTTTCACGAAGGCCAGGCTGTCCACATCCACGACCACACGGGCACCACCTTGTTCAAACACCCTGCAGAAAAGCAGCATGTTTAACCATTAACTGTGCTGCAGACCCAAGAGAAGCACAGCCTGAGCACGTTCCTTATCTCACAGGCTTCTTCCCTTCCCTTCAAGACACTATCAGGTCACACACACCCTTCTTGTTACCTTTGCAAAGACCAGTCACACCCGACCACCACTACACCCCTTTGTCCTTGCCTGTCATCAGGATTGATAACTGTGTCCAAGGAAAACTTGTATTGGAAGCCAGAGCAGCCACCTCCTTCCACCTGCGCACGTTCCTTATCTCACAGGCTTCTTCCCTTCCCTTCAAGACACTATCAGGTCACACACACCCTTCTTGTTACCTTTGCAAAGACCAGTCACACCCGACCACCACTACACCCCTTTGTCCTTGCCTGTCATCAGGATTGATAACTGTGTCCAAGGAAAACTTGTATTGGAAGCCAGAGCAGCCACCTCCTTCCACCTGCAGCCTGAGAAACTCTGAGCCTTCTGTGATCT